AGAAGATTAAAGATAATACTAAGAGTAATAGCGGGTTTATTCTTAATTTTAACTCTCTATATTAAATTAATAATACGCTTAAAATAGAAAGTAAGGGGATTTTTTAAGATGTTAATATAGATTTATAATCTCGATATCGAATAAAATTACACTTACTTTTATAGCTTTTAAAGAAAACTTCTTATAAAATATAACTCGAAACTATTAAATTATTTATTAAAAATTAATATATTCTACTTTAATAAGAAGTCGAATAGCTTCTAAATAATTTTCTAATTATTTAAAGATATTGTTAATAAAAAATATATTAAGATATTTTAGATATTTAATTAAGAGAAAATAATCTTTTTTCTAGCACTCGCTTAAAATAATAATATTATAACCTTATAACGCCATATATGATCATAACGCTATGTATATGCACCAGGTAGTCCAGCTGTAGATGCTTTGTTCATGAGATTCGCGCCAGTCATGTCCCTGCATGTATGTGAGAATACCTACGCTCTTTGCCACCAGCACCACCGCAAGCAAATGTAGCGGCCAAAAACCCAGCACCAAAGATTATGTATGCAAAGGGGGAATCATCGCAAAACATTATGCGCCGGCAAATCACCCATCCCATCGCAGATACCTCATGTTTTTCTCCATGTCCGAACACATGCATTGACCCATGCCACATACGTATAACCCAGCTTTTCCATAGCCATAAATTCTGGCTAGTCACGCCTACACACCGTATAAGAATAGAAGGATTACCTGGCAGTCGTCAAAACGCCTGCTTGGAGAAGTTGATGATATCAAAGCGCCTCGCCAAGTCGGACGAATGATGCCGTATAAAATGTTTTGTCGTAAGTTTCGCGTTGTTGGAGCCCCATAGACTTCGTTAACGTCCAAACATGTAATCCGAATACTGCGCTCCCTGGCCACCCCAACCACTCGTCATGCCTCCTGCATGTGGGCTACGCATAGGCATACCCATGCTCATGTCACTCATTCCAAAGTTGCTCATGCTGGTTGGGCTCATCATGCCGTTCAAGGTGCTACCCGATGTGTGTAGACCCGGTGGAGCGGCCAATCCAGGTGGAGGTCCGTTGGCTGTCGAAAATGGCTGGATTCCCAAGCCATTCACTCCTGGCATGGGTCCCGATGGCGACAAGGGTGTTGGCGGACCCAGTCCCCCAGGCTGACCAGTCCGAACACCGAGTGGATTTTTGGAAAAACTCAATCGTATGCCACCCTTCACACTATTATGGAGGGGGTGTCCGTACAACTCATTGAGAGCTTTCGTCGCAAATGATATATCCTCAAACTCCACGAAGCACATCGGTCCATTCTGCTTCGTCCTGAAACATAATCTCTTGTAACCTCTCTGCTTCGAGAACATCGCCTTCAATTCATCCTCCGAGGTATCAATGGGAAGATTGCCGACGTAAAGTGTATTGCATGGAGGATTCTGATCGGCGGGGTTGACAGGTGGATAGTTGTGCCTCTGGTAGTGCTGGTTCGCTAATTGATACGATGCGTTTGGTCCCAGGTTGCTAATACTGGCTGGGGGCATGGCGGTTGTAGGGCTCTGCATTGGTGCTGCGCTTCGTGGCGATGTGAAGCCTGACATTGGAGGAGAGGTCGCGGTAGTAGTACTTAGCGACAGGCCAGCAAAGCGAGACGTAGGTAGCTGAGGGTTGGTAGGATGACGCGAAAGCTGGCCTGACATATCGCTCTTTGCATAAGAGAGTGGATCTTTGAGGAGGTCCCCGGGCTCGTCATCAATGCTATCCTCACCAATCACTGCCTTCCCTGACACTCTTGGTCGGTCACCCATCTGCTGCCCTATTGGTGACTGGGAAGAAAAGAAGTTCAACATCGGAGAAACGACATCGGAGCGCTCGGCCGAGGAATACGAATTCCCATTGGTGAGTCCAGGCACTGCGCTCGGAGGCGATATTCGATCTATAGCTTGAAATGTTCCATTGAAGCGTGATGATCGCGCCTGACCAGCAGACGATGCAGTAGAAGAGCTAGAATATGCCCTGGTGGATGCCATATCGAAGTTGTTCCTACCAGGTCCTAGACTTCCCGACGGCGAAAGGCGATAGATCTCGACCTGTAAAGGCGGCTCGTTCGGATTGTTCTGCTTTCCATTCAGAAGTGACTTAGCCTCTTCAGCAGCACCATTACTGCGAAAGCGTGCTATAGCAGATAGATATCCTTGATTCGACGGTGAATCCGAATTGACGAAGTCTGCGCCTATGAAGTCTTTCGCAAACAGAAGCATCGTCCGAAGAGCCTCACTGGTTGTATGCCTTGGGAGATTGCGGATATAGATGGCTGATACTGACTCCATGTCTGAACGGCCAGAAGCTCTTTCGACTCCTTTGGGAAAGCCCGAGGCACCCGCATCCGCGTCGAAAGGGTTGTTGCTTTGGCCGATGGGAGAGATTGCCTGCGAAGATGGCATTCGGTAAGGCATTTGGCTCGGTCCATTGCCCAGCATGTATCCTTCGGCTGCCATTGCGCGACGTCGTGCAACAATGTGCCAGCCTTTAGTGTGAGGAGAGGCCTCTTGCGTGCGTATGTAGCTCAAGTCGATTTAAAGAGTGGAGTACTGGCTGTGTTGGGTATCACAAGTAAGGTGCACACTCTACTTCCAGACAGAGTAGGAGTGTACTTCCGGACTTAGCTCCGTTGCGGGGATGAGTCCCACGTTGCTTGGCAGCTTCACTTGAGCCGATTGTAACGACTTCCGATCATCTCAACGTTCGCTCGCATTCGTAGGAGAAGGGCACGGACTGTGTGGCGTGCGCGCAGTCACTCGTTTGAGGCTAACGGGGCGTGTGAAGGTGTGTCGAACGAGAGTATGCAAGGGCCTTTAGATGCGGAATCTGTGGAGGTGGGAGTGTATGCCGGAGGTCGTCGAGAAGGCCGCAGTTACTGAACGAGCGTTATGGATGTGAGTTGGAGAGAGCGTTGAGTCAAGGGAAAGAGAAAGGCGCGCTTGAGGAAGTAGGCAAGAGCCAAAAATGCGACGGGGGCGGGGAAGAAGGGTGCTTTGCCAGTGGTGTGGGAGCTGTTGGCAGGGATCGAAGATGGCGTCGATAACGGAAGGCTGTTGATTCGCGCAGACGCTGATAGCCTCTTTTCTTCCTTTGCGTCTGCTGTGCGCCTTGCTCTGTCAGAAGCTCGCAATCTTGAAAGGTAGCCGTCTATATTGTTTGCGTTCCTGGAGCTGACTTGAATGGACCAATTGGATGAGGCTCTCCCGGATCCTCCCAAGTTGGTGTGGGCAAGAGGTGATCCGAGTGTGTCAAGGGGCAGCTTTTAGCAGTCGTGGGATGAATTGGCGGACCCCCTCGGGAACGGACGATCTCGAGTTCTAGGCTGGCTAGGCTGGAGATAGGTAGCCGAAAGAAGGTGCTTGATAGGGTTGATATCGAGAAAGTCGGATGTATTAGATGCTGAAGGTTGGAATACTTCAAAGGGACTGAATGATGAATGTATTGGCAAAAGGTGAAGCAGTGTGTGAAAATGTGCAGTTGAAAGGCAGAAGATAAGGATGGGATGGGATGGGATGGGGGGGAGTTGAAGAGAATGAGGAAAAAGAGGGAAGAAGGTGGCTTCTTGACAAGCGGGAGCCAACCCAGAACCCCAGGAATTTCCAAGGCGAGCTAAAGAATTGGCGGGGACTCGGACTCGGCTTCATGATTGTGAAGGATGGGAAATGGGAAAAGGGAAAAGGGAAAAGGGAAAAAGGGAACGGAAGCCTCGATTTTTCTGGTCTTTTTCGATTTACTGCATGATATCTGGGGACGATGCGGGAAACCCAAAGGATTGGTTCGATGAATTCTCGCTGTCGCATAGAATGGGGAGAGCACGCTGCCTTGAAGCGACTGTCTTGAAGCTGTCCAAGTTGCCATTCTTCTACAGTCTTGGAAGCTCTACCTTACAATACCTACGGCATGTAGTGGATGATAATTGTCTCACATTCAAAGGTCTGACTGCTGCAGTTTTGCCGTAGCGGCAGGTACGCTCCGTGTCGTGTTTGTTTCGCATTATTACCGTAGATATTGAATGCGATCCCTACATGTACTTTAATGACAGACAATGTCAGTAGTGGCCGCCATTGTATTATATTCATTGTGTAACAGCTGTGTAACATTGCGCGTTCTTTCTCTTCTTTATTTCCTCTTTATTTTTTCTTCTTCTTCTTTTTCAAAAGAGGGGAAGGTAGGTACATGGTAGGAAAGATACTCTACATCGAGATCGTTATCGCTGATTACCCCGCCCTAAGCCTTACAAGCTTTGCTACTGTGGTAACTTTACCTTAGTCTTTACCTTAGGTACCCCTCGCTCGGTTCCAGAAAAGCAACCCATGCTCCTTTTACTTGCCAAGACCTGCCCACTCTGCTCCCTTACTCGTCCATTCAGAGCACGCCAACTGACGCCTGAAAATGTCAGGCCAGCATTAATAATATTATCCCAGGTGGTCGTTGATCAAGGCGTCCACGATTGGCGGTAACCTGCAGCATTGGTGCGTCCCGACAGTTTGAAAATGCCGATCAACGGTCACGAGGCGAGGGAGATGGTGGGATGAAGAAACTCGGCTTTTTCCATGTGCACTCATGGATTCGTACTTTAGGATTATGATAATGCCAATTTGCCGGAGGAGAGGAGGCCGCCAATGCCGCATTTCCCTCTTGCCGGAACGGAGGATGATGATCTTCGTAGAGAATGGAGCTATGACCAAGCGTTCGCATACTCTTGGCGCATAAAGCCCGTATCGACATGTTGTACTGGTACTGAGCTCCGAAGCTGATTGGTGAATCTCTTCCTGGCTCCATTTGCATCCCCATCTCAATTCTCTACGACAGCTGAGATGATCCATCATTTTGTAATTTAGTAAGGTCGACCCCATGGTAGACATCTGATGCCTTACTTCTCGCAGGCCTCGCCGGTCCATCAAGCGCAAGGCCTGATACTCCTCGACTTGATGGATAGTACTCTCAGTAATCTTGAACACCAGTCTGGCCTGTAAGACCCTCAGCTCCCCCCGAACCCTCATCACTTTCCTCAACCCAACTCGGCTCCTCCTTTTCGAACCATCTTTCCTCCTCTTCCCTCTCTTGGACCCCTCTATCATCATAATCTTCACTTTCATCCACTTCCTTGTAGTCAAAATCCGGATCATCACCCCTTAGGAACATCAGCTCCATCTCCTTTCGCCATCTCTGTATGCCCTCCTCTTTGTTCTTCGGGACGTCATCCTTCTCCTCGGCCAAAATATTCCCAGAAGCGTCCCTTCTGTATCTCATCACCGCCGCATGGTCTGCATTGGCCAATGCGCCAACCTTGGCTTCTGAACGCCACAGATCAGCTTCTAGCACGCCCGAGAATCCCTTTTTGCGACCTTCAGTTTCACGTTCGCCGGGGCTTTGGAACTGTCGGACTAGGCGGTCGTAGGCAAGAGGGTCTTGGTGCCATCAGTCACATGCCCCATCATATTGGTGTATGTGGCAGACCTGCGAGCTCGAGGGATGGAGAGGAGAAGTATTCGGGGTGGGTGTCTAGGTAGCGTTTTCGGCGGTTCTTGATTGTGGTGCGGGCTTTCGAGCTTGGGGAGCGAGAAGGACGTGCCGATGGATGAATGGGTAACGATAGTGTATCTTCAGGCTCAAGGCCAGCTTTATCGTTCAGGAACGCCTCTGTAGCCATTTATTGCAACAATGCAGAGACGAGCACTGAAACAATGATCAGTGGCCTCGGCGATGATAACGGTAAAGGACTACGAGGAGGCGTGGAAATATCAATGCAGACGGATGAGGAATAGCCCAACACGCGTCGCGCGTATCTGTAAGGTATCTACCCAGTCACAAACATGGACAATGCCAATGGGCTTGCTCTGCGACTTTAGGCCAGGGCCCATTTATTCACACTGGGCCCCAGAATGAGGCAAGCTGCTTGGGATTCTGGCCGAGCACCTATTTTCCACCCCACAAGGCTGAGACATTGACCTCAGAGAATCACGTCAACAAGAGATCCATCATCCTGAACATCTCAAAACGGCGCATCAGGTGCTACATCAAGTTTCAACCCATTGCGTTCTCCCAGTCTCGAGACTGATCAAAATGCCTCCTCGTGGGCAGAGAGCGAATGCACGAGCGCCTCCACTGACGCAAAACAACAATGCTCAAAGAAGGACATTGTGGCCATATGTTAGGCTCCTTCTCACGACATTAGCGACTCTCTCCCTCGCTGCTGTGTCTGCAGAAGTCTCCAAGCTGTCCCTGACCCCTGTTTACGGCTCGATCCCTCCCATAGCAAGTCTTGATTGGCTTCGAGGAGGCCTTGAGCACGATCAACGCTACATCGCCATGATAATTTCTGTTTCCCTGGCAAAGATGTTCTTCAGCAAGCGCACTGTAGGACTCTCGAAACATTTTGCGATATGGGGTTTCTTTGTCCCTTCCATGCAGTCGGGTCTATACAGCGTCAGTGGAAGACTCGGCCCAATTTGGGGTCCTCGCACAACCTATCTTTTGACCTCTGTCCCTCTCTCCTGCCTTTCTCTCTTGCATCTCGTGAATCTGATTGCAGAAGCATTCCCTCTTGCGATTTTCGTCGAAGGAGCAGCAACCCGCAGCCTGATCGAGTTTTGCAGCAGTGGGCTGGGGACGCTTTTACTGACAGGCACTCTGTACCACTTTTTAGCCCGAATCAAAACGTATTTAGAGAACCGGCTCCCGTTGTTTATGATGTTGACATCTGGTACGCATGCGATATTCAGCCGGTTTGGTCTTCAGACTGTAATGGCCCTCTTGTACACGCAACTCGGCGCATCACTCGAGCGGTTCAAGCTGGTATTAACCGCCATTCTTCCATTACTTCACCTTGCATTTGTTTGTCCTCATCTTCCATTGCCATACAACACCGACGTGCTTAACAGTACCCTCCGAGCTGAAGGATATTCCCTTGTGGCTCGCCAAGAATCCTTGACCGGCTACATCTCGGTATTGGACAATATCAATGCAGGATATCGTGTCATGCGTTGTGATCACAGCCTTTTGGGTGGAGAGTATCTCAACAGGCCTAGGGGCTCAAAATATAACGAGCCAGTCTACACAATATTCCTCACCTTGGAAGCGGTAAGACTTCTACAAACCAAGTCTTCAGGAAGCCAGCAAGTTGCGACAAGCAAGCAGAGACATGCACTTGTCATGTAAGTGTTCTGCGTGGCAGATATAAAAAGCCTTACTGACTAACCTTGCATTTTAGAGGTGTAGGCATCGGTACAGCACCAGCTGCACTCATCGCTCATGGAGTTCATACCACGACGGTTGAGATCGATCGAGTCGTGCACGACTTTGCTACAAAGTATTTCGATCTCCCACGCAACCATACATCTGTCATAGGGGACGCTACCAAGGTTGTTGGTGACATGCAAAAAGCGAAGGAAATGAGAAATACTTACGACTATATCATCCACGACGTCTTTACTGGGGGCGCAGAACCTATCAATCTCTTCACCAGGGAATTTATTATGGGCTTGAGTGACTTACTTAGACCAGATGGGATCATTGCTATAGTAAGGACTAAAAAGTTGGACTTATCCGCTCTGAAACCAGGCTGACGTAAATCAGAACTACGCCGGCGACCTCCTCCTCCCCATCGCCACCTCAGTCGTCCGCACCGTAGAATCTATCTTTCCAAAATGCCGCCTGTATCGCGAATCACCACTCCCCAAAGCTCCAGAGGCGATGGACTACACCAACATGGTCATGTTCTGCAGAAAATCTCCAGAAGCATTCACATTCCGAGATCCTGTCGAAGCGGACTTTCTAGGCAGCCCGGCAAGGCGACAACACCTCAAACCGCAACATGAGATACCCGCAAGCTATTTCAAAGCGGGCAGGCGGCAGAAGGGAGAGATACTCAGGCGAGGCCATATCAGTCGCGAGATGCAGAAGTCTACTATGGCTAGTGCTGCTGGACATTGGTATCTTATGAGGACTGTGTTGCCAGATGTCGTATGGGAGAATTGGTAATTGTGGGAGGAGTAGGGAACTTGGCTGAAGTCAATATTCGATCGGTCAGCATGAAAATGTAGGCTTGTTTGAAAGATTGGTTCTACAGAAGTTTATCTAGTATGGTTATCCGTACGGTCTGGACTACAAATGGGGATAAGACATGAAACCAATATTCTCACAACCTTACGAGAGCATCTGTACCCTAGCTCCCTGCCACAACCCTTCCTCCACACGAGTCCTGCATACTCCTGCCAAGAAAAGCCTATTATCATTCCAAACTAGAAAATCGAGATCAGAAGAGATCTGTATTGTAGATCAAACCAACCAACATCTGGAAAACATGACGTCAACCAACTGTATTTGAAAATATTACAAGCAAGTCAATCACTACGTGAATCTGTCGGCACAAAAACCGACATTTTTTCGACTATACTCCGTAAGTAAACTCCTAATGCGCACATAGAAATCTGTGCACAGAAATCATGCGTCATTAGAACTTATGTTTCACAGCTCTGCATGGAAGAGAGAATTTCAATGTATTCATTTAATTAAACATTGTTGTTGTTGTTACCTACGTCTCAGTAATTCGAGAAGCCTTTCCATATCAACAACCTCTCTCGTCTTCCTCTACACCCTCAACCCCTCGTTTCTCTACTCTCTCCTCCAAATACCTTCCTTCCTCGCTCGCTCCACCTGCTCCTAGATCATCTTGCATTATCTCACATCCGAAGAACAAGCTTGCCATTGGCTGGTCCGGAATCGAACATTCTATGCGCCTCGTGAATATGCGCAAAATCGTAGATATGCGATGGTTTGGCACTCCAATCTCCCTCCTCAACGCGTCGTACGGTCTCCTGCAGCGGCACATCTAAAAGTGGAAGCCCGATGTGCCCAAGACCTTGCTGTATAAGAGACTGAAGTGGATGCCAGTGCCCATCTGAGTCATTGGATTGAAGCCCACAGTGGGTCCCAAGCCACCCAGCCATCCGCCCTGGCACAAATGAACTCCACGACGGACGATCGTCATGCTCTCGATAAGGACAGAGTTTCCTACCAAATTCAGAACGACATCGAACCTCAAGTCTGAAGCGGCGATTTCTGGTACCAAGTCCGGGCCCTCGAGCTTGGCAGCATGGACACCCATCGCCTGCATCTGTGGGAAGCGTTCCCGCCAACGTGAGGTAGCTGTGACGATGGCTCCAGTATGAACGGCGAGATGGCAAGCGGCCTGGCGGAGCGCTGAGGTAGCGCCACGGATGAGTAAAATTTGCCCACGCTTTAACTCCAGGATGCCGAAGACGGTTGACCACGCAGGCATTAGTCTCTGGAATCGCGGCCCAAGGCAACGAGGTTTCAATGCCCAGCAGGTTCAATACCGGAACGCTGGTGTATTCGGCGTACGTCCCCGGAATCAACTGACCTAGGCCACCCATGATGGCGGCGAACTCCCCGCCCGGACATGCAGTCACCGAACCGACACACTCCAGACCAGTGACAGGCATATACTCGGGCCACTTGCCCTTGCGCATGTGCGACTCGGCGTGATTCAAGCCAAGGGCCTTCACCTGGACAATAGCATGGCCCGCTTTCGGCTCCGGTTCTGGAAGGTCCTTGAAGACGAGAGCTTCGGGTCCACCAAAGTGATCAATGACGATAACTTTCATGTTGGGCAGATATACACCTGTCTTCGAGGCTGAGCAAACCCGAAAGGCGTCACTGAGACAGAAGACGCGTGTGATTTGAGGATGTCTTCACTGAATATGTTGTGACATCTTGACCATCTTATCCTGATCATCTCTCGATCGGTAACCGCATTAGCGGATTGGTAATACGGTTATACGTGCATTGAACAGATCGATAATACGGGTCAACCAACCCTTCTAACGTACCTGCGGCACGCTCTGGGGTACAGGCAGAAGGGAGCTTAGACCCCTACAACTTAGGTGCTAATAGACGATGAAGCCGCGAGCTCTCGACATTGGCTTCATTGAGAGACTATACCCTTTCCTTACACGTCACCGGCCATGATTATGAGGATAACACCGTTGTAGACACATACCACGCGCGATGACGATGGGGATCATCGGATCCATCTTGCAAGGTTCAAAACTCTGGATAATCAAGCCGAGAGTGATAATCAGCAGATTTGTAACTGAACGGATGCGTTGGCCAAGCATACAATCGGGACGAAGATCGTTCGCTTTTCTTCGAAGCTCACGACATCGACAGCGCAGAGCAAGCTCAATGTTTGGTTGAGGTAGCTGATATACTGATGGATTGGTCCTGGGTCAGGCTCAGCTCCTTCTTTTGTTTTGACTGGTTGGGCAATTCCGCCTTGGTGGTGGAACGAAGATGAAGTTACAAGCGGTGGCTTGTGCAGAGAAGATTGATGAGCTTGAAGTAGTATTTTGTAAGAGAATGTATGCCATGCATCAAACGCTGGAAATGGCGAGGAAGATACATGTGTAGAGGTAAGGATGGGCCTGCTGTGAGATTAGAAACCAAGAATGGCCTAACTTGTACACCTCATTGGGCTCATCGCTTCCTGCGCGCAGCTTCGCAATTTGCTCTTGCTCCACGGAGGTAGGCCCCAACGTCAGTCAATAGAATCTCAGACCTCAACCACGTTAAGCTGTATCTTCTTCGTCGAGATCCCGGGATGTTATTTCCCCATCACTACCTTCTGCAAGGTTCATCAAAGTCTGCCTCGAAGTTGTAAACGACATACTGTTACTGTTCAGAAGATCAGAAGTTGCCCGCAACAGCTTGCAGAGTAACCTCGATTCAAGAAGCGCAAAAGATCGCCGCATACTCCGTACTCCAAGCAGAATCAGGTATTCCAAGGAAGATTCCTTGCAATACCATGAAAAGGAAATCACAAGCTAGAGATAGAGAACATTAGACGCGTAGAATCATCCCTCATATCTTTTACAAGAGCATACAATCCTTTCGATACCTCCTAATTTCTGAAATTGCCAAGCCAAAGAATCCGACGCTGGCAAGACGGCGCGCGTGACGGAAGAGCCAAAAGTAATAATAGAAAACAAGGAGCTGCGTCCAACGACATCATCCTGCTTAGGGACCCCCACGTCCACAAAAGAGAAAGCAGATTCGACTTCCAGATGAACGGGGGACGGTGGAGAAGATGTCATGACAGACCTCTCAGCGCGACTGAAGCCCCTGTTCCGCCGGAGTTCTACCTTCTCCTCCACTAAATCTTCGGCTTCAGGCTCATCCACCACCAGCGACGCTCTCGGTGACGGCCACACCTGGAGTAAAGGCTCGTTCCGGCTCTCCAAAAATCGGAAACCTTCCTTGCCTATATCGGTTTTCGAAGAGAACGAGCCTCTGCCACAACCACCTGGTGCACTGCCTTTAACGCCAACAGAAAAACCGAGGTTTACGAGGAGGAATAAAAAAGAAACGCCAGATACAAGCCCTGAAACACCGCGGTCGCCGCCATTGGAAAAGCAGAACCCTACATTGACGGTCGAGGCACCTACGCCGAAACTGGGAACGCGATTAGGAAAAACACCTCAGGAGGAGTCATCTCCACGAGACTCAGGGCACTTGGCTGGGACAGATGCGGGGACTACAATTGGCTCTCAGCGCCCAGGCATAGCACACAGGAGAAAGTCTCTTACACATCAAGAACAGTCAAAGGATATATCGAGTCTGTTGGGATCCCAAAGCCCAGCGTTACAGCCTACGAAAACAGATTTTTTTGGAGGCATTTCGGTCAGTGCCGATATGGTACCTAAGAAGATATGGGTGAAGAGGCCTGGCTCTTCTGCAACACAGGTCGCCATCAAGGAAGATGATCTAGTGGATGATGTGAGGGATACGATACTGAGGAAGTACAGCAACTCCTTGGGGCGCAACTTCGATCCACCAGATGTTACGCTACGCATAGTGTACCGGAAGCAGTCGGCTAGGCATTCCAACAGTGAGCGCACGCTTGGTCCTGAAGAATCCATGCTGAAACTTATCGAAATTCATTATCCTGGTGGTCAATCAGTTGAGGAGGCTCTGATGATTGACGTCCCAAAACGGCAGACACCAAGACATTCACCACGGATGGCTATGCAATACTATCTACCCGAGGATCTCAGACCACACGAGAATGGCACGGATTACTTCCCGCCTATGCCGTCAGCAGCGCAACACTCGCCTCATCTTCCAACCAGCCTCTCCGTCTCCAGCGCACAAGGAGGCTCTCATCACCCACCAGCACATTCAATGGCTATCTTGACTACTGGACAACTTCCAAACTTACCATCCCCCGGCGGTAGAGCCCGGCATTCTCAAAATAATAGACCCAGATACGGACGACAGCATACCTCCTCTCCCACCGTCGTACAGACAGCATCCATAGCTCTCAATCATGGTAAGCCCAGACCGCCGGTCGCTCCGCGCATCGAGTCCTGGCTAACGTCAACCAGAAAACCTGAAAGCCTCTCAACAGCCGATGCCCACACCGCCAATTCCAGAGGAAATGACACCCCACAAAACTGCCACGCCGCCGCCCCGAGCCGCCTCCCCTCGTCCCAAACCCAACAACAACAAACGCACCAAAAAGCCGGTCGACCAAGCCCCACAACCCGCAAACACCACAGTGCCTCCCATCAACGTCCTCATAGTGGAAGATAATATTATCAATCTCCGTCTCCTGGAAGCCTTCATGAAGCGTCTAAAAGTGCGCTGGAGCACGGCCATGAACGGCAGAGATGCTGTCACGAAGTGGCGCGAGGGTGGATATCATTTGGTGCTGATGGACATTCAACTGCCAGTCATGAATGGGCTGGATGCGACGAAAGAGATCAGGCGGTTGGAGCGCGTCAACAGCATTGGCGTCTTCTCGAACAGCGCATCAAGCACCCCTACCTTTCCGAAGGGTGCAGGCATTGATGGGACTTTCGGAGGTGAAGATAGCTTGATGAATACGGCATTGTTCAAGAGCCCGGTCATCATCGTCGCTCTGACGGCCAGTTCGCTGCAGAGTGACAGGCATGAAGCCCTAGCGGCGGGGTGCAACGACTTCTTAACCAAGGTATCCTCTTCTCGATTCCCCTCTGGAGCCTGGGTAGCCAGCATACTGACATGCTGTTAGCCTGTGAACTTTGAATGGCTCACGCGCAAAGTGATGGAATGGGGCTGCATGCAAGCGCTCATCGACTTCGATGGCTGGCGCAAATGGAAAGACTTTAGCCAAACGAAGCCAGCGGATGCGGAGAAGAAGGGTATTGGTGCAAACAACAGCAAGTCTCCAAAAGCAGCGCTGAATGGGAAGGCACAAAGTACGCCGAAAAGGGATCGCATGACGAGCTTGGGATTGGGAGGGAAACAGAACACAGGAAGCGACGGGACAGGAACGGATACGCTTTCGAATGGCGACTCAGGTAGTGGGCAATGAGGTCGCTGTGAGGGGGTAGGGGAAGAAGGGAAGAGGAGGGGTGCAATAGGCGCCGTACGTGTGGGTTTCCTTGTTCACGGCGACTTGGCATGGGTAGGCATCTCTACTTACGCAGCAAGCAGGGGGGTTTGGAGCGAATAAGGAGATGCATAGCGCTTGCACGGTAGGGTAGATAAGCGATGCATTGGCGATGCTACCAGCTACTTTACTGTCCAGTATCTCCAGACTACAGCCATTCGTGGACATCTTTAACAAATGAGTACTTATATTGTCCAACCTATCTGGAGGTTTCTGAGACGGTACCCCACCGGCTAAGGTTCGCGATTAGGATTATACTGATTGGCGATGTGCATGGTTGGAACAACGACAAGCTTGCATGCTGGAATCACTTTACTACTAATGACATGATGTCATGTGGTTGTTCCTGGAGCATATGAAAGAAAGATGTTCAGCTCGAGGACTTGAGGATGGCGAGGATGGCGAGGCCCGTCCAAAGGCAAACGGAGGGTTGCATCTTTTGGCCCCATCGGGATCTCCGTTCGGGGATCGTCTCTTATCACACGGACTTGGAAGGGCTGTTGAACGAATAATAATATTCATGTAGGTAGAGTAGTGGAAGGGTGGGAGATGATAGGGAGGCGGGACATCAGAATGAGCTACCTACCTAAGGTACTTTACCTATCATGATTAAGGCAATTCAGTCAGCATGTTGTATAGCGACGCCATCAGACGCTAGAAGAGTGATGGAAGGCGGGATACGAAGGTAAGCGCAGCCGGTGAGAGCCTGTAGAGCCGGCTCGGCCCGGGAAGCTTGTCTGATTGGCCAAGATCCTTGGCATTATCAACGGGTCAGTCAAATGGTGTAAGTAATAAATAATAAATAATAATAAGGAAAGAAAGAAAGATAACCGGTCGTCAATATCACGCACTGTCTTTCTCCATACGATATAGTGGATAGATATAGTTGGATATAGTCGGCTGCCCGTCCTTTCAACTCTAACCTAATCTTCGGTTTTGCCCGCTCCAACTCCGTACCTCCATCCCTCCACACCTAGTGGCATAATATTATTATCATTCTTAACCTCCTAACTACCTGCCTTTTCGGAGCACACCGTTTTGGCCCCCTCAAGTCTCACCAATCCAATCAAATCCACCTTGAACAAGCCGAGCTTTTTTCCCTCTATCTTACCTGCATATCTACATATCTGCATATCTGCACAGACAAAAGATAAAGATGCCCTCCCTCCCCGCCCGATCCTCTCACTTCTCCTCCCACCTAGCATTCTCCTCCTCCTCCTCCTCCTCCTCCTCCTCCTTACTCGGATCGCCAATCCCTTACATCCTTCCAACTTACAAGCAACTGCAACATGGCGCAACTCGGGGCCATGGCCCTCGATGGCGGCGACCCTCGTCTCGCCGACAAGGAAGGCGAGTTCGCAGGCCAAGGCATTGTCGCATACACTCGCCCGCAGATGCGTGCTCTCCACGACAAGAGCATCACCTTCGAAGAATACCACTACTATGCTCTCCAGTCGCGCGCTGAAGAGGACTCGAACCACCGCATGGTGAAGAACGGTGCGGGAACTCGAGGATTCCTATCGACAATCATCCCAGGGAAGGGACCGTCGTCGTTAGCTTCAGATGAAAAGCGCAATCAATCTATGATTCCGGCGGATATCAGTCTTTCCGTCCCTGACCGTCGCGCATCTGTGACCGAAGAGGAATGGACCAATGCTTCCAGAGCGGTACGCACTGCTACTGCGGGCGCCATCTTCTTCCTCATCACGACTGATATATTGGGGCCGTTTGGTCTTCCTTACGCCTTTGCGACAACTGGCTGGGGGTAAGCTTCGGACTCAACGCGCGGCCCGCGCCTCTCCAACCTGATGCTAACACACCCACAGACCTGGCGTTGCTCTCTATACTGTTTTCGGCTTCATGGCTGGTGTCTCTGGCTGGCTGCTCTGGTCTTGCTTCATGGGTACGTGCAGCATTGCGCAACTGGTTGCTACCCAAATGCTACTGCATATGCTGACGGTGCTTTCCAATCAGGCCTCGATTCCTACCAATACCCAGTCAAAACGTACGGCGATCTCGCCTTCCGTCTCTACGGCCAATGGGCGCGATACATGATCAATATTCTCCAATCAATCCAACTCATCTGCAGTGTCGCCGTCATCATCATTTCCAACGGCGAAGCTCTCTCGGAAGCCTCGAAATTTAAGCTCTGTTACGCTATCTGCTGTCTCGTCTGGGCCTTGGCCGGTTTCTTCCTAGGTCAGGTCCGAACACTGCAGAAGTTCGGATGGCTAGCCAACTTCGCTATTTGGATTAATCTCTTGATCATGTTCATCACGATGGGTGTCGCCGCACACTCTCCGCCTTTATACTCGGCTGCTGGTTCGTCAGCTGGTTTCAGCGTGAACCCAGACCTGGTGACTGCCAATGCCGCCGGCGTCTACCCAGCTGTTACTCATTCTGCGGGACTCCCGGACCCAGCCAACTTTGGCGCTTCCATCAACGGCCTGATGCAAGCCGTATACGCCTATGGCGGAGCTATGCTGTTCACTGAATTCATGTCTGAGATGAAACGCCCTTATGACTTCTTGAAGGGCATGTGGGGCGCGCAGTTCTTCATCTACATCTTCTACATGCTCTACGGCCTATTCATGTACGGATATCAAGGCCAATATCTCCAGAATCCGTCCTACTTGGGCATCTCGCCTTACAACTGGCAGACCGCGGGTAATGTTCTGGCCATGGTTAGCGCCCTGATTGCGGCTGCTCTGTACGGCAACATTGGTGTCAAAGGTGAGCTCGTCCTTACTATTCATCTACTGAGGAGCTATTCCTAACGTTCTCCAACACAGTTCTCTACAACAACATAGCCGTCGAATTCTTCCGCGCACCACCCCTCACCAACAAGAAAGGCAAACTCCTCTGGGTGGCCGTCATCCCCATCTACTGGTCCATCGCCTTCATAATCGGTGCCGCCATCCCCGACTTCTCCGGCTTCACCGCCATCATCTCCGCCGTCTGCACCATCCAATTCACCTATAGCTTTCCCCCCCTTCCTGCATCTCGCCTTCAACATCAAGAAAAACGCCCTGCACGGCGGCGAGGGCTTCGACCCCGTCACCGGACAGGTGAGCTTGCAAGACACGGGCTTGAAGAGGCTGATGAGAGGGTTCATGGCTGGGAACTGGTATTTGAATGTTTGGAACGTCCTTTACCTTTGCGGCGCGCTGGCGACGGCCGGGTTGGGGATTTGGGCCGCGGTGGAGAATCTGATCCTCATCTATGCGGAGCCGCAGCTCAATGCTTTTGGCTGCCATTCGCCGGTTGATGTGTCGTCTTGAGTCGGGTGGATGAGCGTATAGCTAGGATATATGTGTATATATCTATGTTTCTGTATACAAGTATCTCGTCTCTATATTAAAAATTCTGGAAATCATTCTAAAATTGATGTACGACAGCGACTCCCCTTTTGAGAATGGAAAATAACCATCATATACCGCTTCAACAAACCCTCCCCGTCCCCTCAATATTGACCACCTCGACCGAAAACATCCTCAACCCCATCTTTTTTATTTGTTCACCTGCCTGCCACACACGACACACGCACACACACACAGAAACCCCACTCAACCGATACCATACCATACCATCCCGCCCGAACACCCCATCCCCATCCCCATCCCCATCCCCATCCCCACCCCACCCCCCCACCCCACCCCATCCCCACCCCACCCCCCCCCACCCCCCCCCCCCCCCCTCCCTCCAACACGCCCCCCACTTTCTTCCCCTTCCCCTCCGCCCCCTCCCCTTCCCCTTCCCCTTCCCCTTCCCCTTCCCCTTCCCCTTCCGCTCCCCTTTCGGCATCCCCTCGCTCGCCCAGTGGCCCTCGCCCGCTTCGCGCCTGTGCACCTGTCGCATGGTTTTTTCGTTGTTCTTCCTACAGGGTGCGAGGGGGTGGTTAGCTGGGGGGATTTTTTGGTTTTTTGGGGGGAAGGGGGGGAGGGGGTGGATGGGGATGGATGGATGGATGGATGGATGGATGGATGGATGGATGGATGGATGGATGGATGGATGGATGGGGATGGATGGATGGATGGATGGATGGATGGATGGATGGATGGATGGGATGGGGTGGGGTGGGGTGGGGAAAGGCGACGGAGGGAATGGATCAATGCATGATGAGAAACATGGGTTGGGGGGTAGGGATGTGCGCCGTGACAGCAGCAGTCAGTGCTCAAGTGGAGTCTGAAGCAGATACAACCAAGAACGTCACATCCACCCCCCCCCCCCCACAACACACGTACATACCTATACGCCCTCAACTCCCTCTCAAACCGCCTCGCCACCCTCCCCCTCCCCTTCCCCCCCTCCTCATCACAATACTCCCAGATCCTCCCCCGACCAAGAACCCAAACGCCTCCCCCACCTGCGCTCCCGTCTTCCGGTTCCGCGCCGCGAACGCCTCGAGGGCGGCGGGGGCGAAGGCGGCCTCGAGGGCGGACGCCAGGTTCGCGAGCTGGGCGCCCGTCCATTTGGATTCGCGCCGCCGCCGCTGCTGCTGCTGCTGCTGGCGGGCGGGGTGCGGCGGGGGTGCGGGGGGGCGCGTGGATGTTGGGGATGGACGGCTGTTTGGGCGCGGCGGGCGGGATGGCGGTGGGGGTTTGGGACGGGCTGGTGGGGAGGTCGTGGGATGGTGGTGGTGGTGGTGGTGAGGGTGGGTTGTAGGCCGGGACGGACCAGAGGAGGCTGTTGTTGTTGCGTTTGGGCGGGACGGGGTGCTCGCTCGTGCCGGTGTAGGGGGTCGGTGGGAGGGGGGACGGGCGGGGACGTCTGCTGGGGTTGGTGTCGAGGGTGTCTGGCGCTTTGCGTTTGTTGTTGCCGTTGCTGGCGGCGGGTGCGGGCTGGATGCTCATGATCAGGGGGGCGTCTTTGGCTGGGACGGAGCCGGCGGAGACGAGGTGTCTGAATTCGTTGATGTCGAGGGGTGTTGGCTTTGGGGGATCATCGGCCGTGGGGGTAAGGGGCAAGGTGGAAGGAGTGCTTGTGATTGTTGTGGTCTGTGGAGCTGGTAGCACTTGGTCTTTGGGTACTTTTTGCTCGATTTGAGTCGGGATAGCCACTGTGGATTGCGTTTTTGGCTGTACGTTCGCGAAGGCTTTCAGAGCAGCCGGCCGTTTCTGGTGGAGAAAGTGTTGGCTTGTCCGCTGTTAGGGATGTCCTGGACGGGCTTTTGGCGAACGTCCTGGTGGAGTCAGTGGGCTGTTCCCCGGTCGATCTGGTCTTTGTGCTACTCTTGGCAGCATTGTCTTCTTCGTCAGATGAAATATCGACCACTATTTGGACCGGCATCACGGGTGTAGGCCTTTGGCAGAGTTGGCGATCTTGAGCCTAGAAGCTCTTGTGTAAAAGAAGCGAAACCTGAAAGCAAGAGCTCGATCACGGTCGCTGTTCGGGGCATACGAAAGGGTAGTGAGCTGCGTGGTGAGAGCCAAATTGGAACAAGGTACTCAGCATTGGGGATTTCAAGAAGACAGAAGAAGATCATAGACAGAAGAAGACCATAGACAGAAGAGTCATGACAGCACGAAACCGTATCATAACAACACATCCAGTCAGTGCTTTGATGTAAGATGCCTGTGCATACACAAAGCATCAAAACCATGGAAACTCGGATCCCTGCCGGAGCCGCGATTTTATCATTGTTGTAGCATGGCTGCCATCATCACAACAAAGAGCACACGGACAGTCGCAGTTCGCAGCTTTATGCACGCTGCGATGGTACTGGCTTGTCATACAATAGGTCCTGCTGATGATGTTGAAACGCTCCACGCTGATGCGAACGTGTGGACCCCGTTATCCCTGGACCCAAGATCGTTGCAATAGTTCGGACCTGCCGATCACGCAACCCTCATAGGAATCTTGATCTGACCCTTCTTTCGATCTTGATGCGGTATCCCATACCTCGCGCCCACTCCCTCCTTACTTCTCCCACTGCGTCCCACACTCTCAACCCTGATATCCTGGAATCGAAACTCTGACCTCTCCGTGTCCACCTTCCTCATCTCCCTCGCTTCCCTCTCTTTCCTCTTCCTCTCCAGTGCCTTCTTGCTCTGGACGTCCTTGGCTTCCTTTTCTCTCTGCAGTCGTATTCTTTCGACTTCTATTTTACCCTCATGTCTCCATTTCTCCAGCTGAACTAGTTCGGTATGTGGGACGCGTTCTTCGGCGGGCTTGAGCTCGCGGTCGAATACTTTGCCAGCGTCGCGGCGGGTGAAATGGCGGGATTCGGAAACAGGGTGAAAGATCTGGGTTTCAGTTGCGCGGTGGACCGGGAGGTCATTGATTGATTCATGGGTAACGGGAGCATAGGGGACATATGGGGTCGAGGGGAGCATGCCAAGAACGGCTTTGGCGTAGGAGAAAGCGATCGGTTTTCCCTGAGTTTTGAAGAGTCAGCTTCGCTTCGACATGGCCTTTTACGTACAAAACGGACGGCTGCTATGATAGAGACAGAGTGTGTAGGATCAGAGAGTTGTAATTGTTTTGTAACCACGGTAGAAGTCTTCAAGACTAATCGAATTGGATTTTCTCATCACGAATGTTTGGGACAATTCTTCCAGAAGAGAGGTGCATCTTCATCCAAGTGACATACCTGTTTCTCCATTTCCTTCTCTAAAGCCTTGAGCCTGACCACAGCACCGACCCTACTCATCTCCACACCCAGTGCCGCACTGACAGTTCGAACACTCTGACCCTCTGCCATCACCCTTTCATATATGGCATCCTTCAGCTCTTCACTCAATACATGCTGACTCCTAAATTGCCGGTTCAGGGGGAACGGCATTAGATCCTCCATGGTCTCTCTGGGCAGCGCCGGCTCGTTCTTTGTCTCCTTAATCCCAGCTTCCTTGATTTTCTGCGGTTTTTTCGGTACGATCTCTCCATCTTCGTTCACCTCCTCATCTGCGTTCTCATCTATCTTTTCTTCGTCTTCCGCCTTTTCCTTCTCATTCTTCCCCACCAATCGATTTTTAGCTCGAACTAGACGACCATATCGGTCGTAGGCGTTGAGATAGTTCGTAGAACCGGGTAGGGGATGTCGAAATACGAAGCCGGGACCATTGAGCCAGCGGAACATCTCATCGCGCACTCGAGTAGCATGTTGTGGGGTAGAAGAGAACTGTCGAGCGCGTGTCTTGCAGATGCACTGGCAGCGATGAGAAGGTGACGGGAGTGCTTGAGGTGTCCGTAGATAGGGACGGCGTATTCGCGGTGGCATTGCCACAGAATGGAATTATGGTGGGATCTTGGATATGACAATCACTTCCCGAGTAATTGATGCCGCGTTGAACCAAAAAGGAGGAATGAAGGAGCCTGCAATAAAAGCTGGATACTTAATCACTGGTGACCAGAAAGTTGGACGGAGAAAATTGACGCCAAGCCCGACTACTGCTCTGGACCCGAGGAGGGAGCCATCAAGAGTTTCAAGATTAAATCAAGCTTCACATTCAGGAATCAAGGTCTGGTATGGAGTGGTCATCTTAGATCTCTGGGAAGGTTTGATTGATAAACTATCTAGGGACTAAAAGCTCTTGCCCATGGATACAAGTACGCCAGGCGCCAATTGTCATTCTCCCCAATTTCAAGACGAGTCCTCGCAGCTTCATTTCCACACCCCTTCCCCCAGTCATGAATGCCGACTCCTCTCCATCCAGTCACCAGTGTCATTCGATCATCCAGCTCTTTTCCAACCCATGCCTAGTTGTTCTGCTGGCTGTTGAGTATCCTGAGGATGGCAAGGAACAAGTTGATGATGTCCAGGTAAAGAGAGATAGCCGCAGCAATCTCTTCCTCAACGTGATAGTGGCGCATGATAAGCTGGGTATCCACCAAGATATATCCACTGAATATGAGGGCTGCCACTGATCCGTAGATAAGCTCGGCAGTGCTATTGTAGGGAAAGAAGGCTGCCACGAATCCAAAAAGGATAAGTACCCATAGACCTCCGAACAAGTAAGGCATCCAATTTGTGAAGTCGTACTTTGTCTGGCAAGCGAACAGAGTCAGAGCAACAAAGATGCCAGCCGTCAGTACGAGAGCCAAAAGGACAATCTGGGAGTCGTAAAAGGTCACAATAACCGATATGGAGTAGGCTTCCAAGAGTGTGAAGCCACTGAGGAAGAGGAGATTCATAGGGTAGGATTTGCGTTTCCAGAACGTCAAGAGCATGAATCCAATGGCGCCGAAGAGCGAGACCCACATCATCCACTGATTTGACCGGATCCAGTCGTAGTAAGATGGGCTGAAGTAGGAGACGGAGCTGACGGCCATAGTGGCAAGGATTTGGGCAGTCCTAACAACGTCAGATTCGAGTCGCAGCTCTGGGGTGGGACTTGGGCCAACTTACAGGATAGCGTAGACTTTGCGGACAAACTGCATGCGGATGGGAAGGGTGGCTTCAGCGACAGAACCACCAAACTGTATGAGAGTCAGCAATGATACTAGAGGAGAGAGCGTATACAGGCGAGCGCTCCCTACCTTGAAGTCATCAGGAACATTATCATCTTCGCCTCGTGGGGCCCCAAGCATAGGATCACTGGCCTCGGCCTGGTATGACGGTGGCGCTTGAGAGTAGGATGGCTCGTCGAACGAGTCGCGCTGAGAAGCGGGTTGGTATTTGGTGTTAGCAGCCATCTTGAGGAACTTTGGAGACAGCGATGTTTGGTGAGAGAGAGCGAAGGGAAATGGTAAGTTGTCAAGGCGGCGAAGTTGCTCGAATCATGCGCCTTGCGGCGCTAAGCCTTTCCGGCTGAAACGAGTACGAGTAAGGTACCTCTCAGTCAGCAAGGAAACTGTACTAGTCCTTGTAGGGCTAGTCACTTGATGAGGAAGAATTTCCAGAGCGCAAAAGCACCGACATAGACTCACAATACCAAGCACTTTACTACCTCCTTCAGTTGTCCCTATCTCTATACCGCTACTATCGAGATTATAATTTAGCATAAGAGGTCGTTATCACCAGTCTGGAAAGCACGTAGAACACAGAATAAGACGGTTCCCACCAGTCTAAAATCTGGTAAGCAAACAAACAAAACAGCTCCCACGAGCCTAGGACCTATGTGCTCGTAACGGACCAACAGGGTTTCCCAAAAGCTGAAATGTCTTGCTTGGTGTTAAATTACTGAACTTAGCCCTTTTCTACGCAAATTTGATTACTATGAACTACTCCTCTCAAAACCATCTACCTTGTTCATGATGCTGTTCACGCTCGGTGAAAGAGGCTGTCAAAGTTCGCGCGCAGGGAAAAGCGTTTTGAAGGTGGAGTGAAACGGATACTTTGGTAGCTCCACAAGCGTTTTCTTTCAAGGCTGTTAGCTTTATACCCACCAAGTTGAAGGCACAGTCGTCCGTGGTCAGTCTGCTCAAAACATAAGAGAAGAAATTGACCCCTCCTGCCGAGTCGACTCCCCAGACCTCACTGGAAGGGCTGGTCGCACTGCGGCGCAAGTGAGATCCTCATTGTGGTGAAAAGGGATGACTGCAGATGTACCTCTTGGTCGGTATTCATCGAAGGCCACCCATTTACGCAGTCACCCCACCCACTCGGGATGTCTCAAACACGAACAAGATAAGAGTTGGGGGGGATACATTTGGTTGATCTTACCCGCGCTTCTGAAATTCAGCTGCACACCCTCTAGTCCTCCATGCCAATCATCAAATGATGTTTGAGCCTAAAGAGCTTCGGCCCCTTCCACTTCAGAAGCTTCTATTCCGCAACTTAGGGAGGGCGGGAAGACATCTAGGCACGCACCTATTTCGAAGGATTGTACATGCTTGTGGAGTTGTACTGGAAGAATGTGTGCAGTGCCAAGCCACGCTAGTCCCAATTACGTGAAGGCCTTGGCAAAGTCCGTAACGATGTATCAGCGTTTATTTGGCCCGGCTGAGTTGACTGCCTCGTCATAGTAGAAATTAATAACATTCAAGTCGACATTAGACTTGCATTTTTCGAGAGTTTGCTGAGGCAGGTCCAGCTAAGACGGGCCTTAGAAGACTCCGGGCCACACTTTGTCCGTTACTTCGTTGGATACTTCTCGAAGACAGTCAGGTAGGCGTCTGCAAGCGAAGGGTTTATGAGCCATGATATTCACACAATCATAGTATATTGCGGTGATAGGTCTTTCTTATCAATGAAAGAATCATGCTAAAATCCACCATCTTCTTCCTCCCAAATGAGTGTCTTACAACAATGCAACAATGGTTTTATTTCCAAGCTCGACATCCCTAGATCGAAAAAACAAGCCGACATACTATGCTTTCTGGGTGCAATAATCCAAAGCAAGAATGGAAAGATTTTCCAAGTTCGTAGTAGAGCCCTATCCACCCATCTTCTTAATCCCCGTATAAATTTGAAAGACGAAGAGAAGGCACTTACAGTCTTGCCATCCCCTGCCCCATCGTTCACAAGATAAGGGTATGCATTAACGCTGATGTCCTAAATCACGATGTCGACTCAGCATTGCTACTTTAGAAACAAGAGCTTAGAATTGAGTGGGGCTTGATCGGAGCAGAAAGCGGGAAAACAGGACTCTTGAAAAACGGAAGGGACTCCGACAAGGGGCGCAGGTAACGTACTAGTGCATTCGATGGACCGCTGCACTTGCCCGATGGCGCAGTATTACTTTTACAGTAATTGTAGGCGCTGAGAGCCGGGCATGCGTCGACGATATAGATAGTGACTGTTTTGAGGCTGTCGTTGTTGGTGACATTGTAGCAGTTGCCGCAAGAGGCTGGGCAACTAGGGCCATCGTAGGTTTCGCTATTAGGTTGTTGGTCGGGGCCGGTGGAGTCGGGTTCGGTACTTGTTGGAGATTTGGTCAGCTACATAACCACATTTGTTCGAAGAGGGAGGTGAAAAACGTTTAGCTTACCAGACACTCCTGTCTTGGCTGCTGTCTGACGGAGTGTAATTACATCTTCCTGGGGAGATGTTCGGACTGAGGTCCCCAGCGGCGGCAGCGAAGACTGTAAGGCTAGTACCATCGTAGTTGGGCTCGTCGTTGTAACTACCACACACAGTTACTTGATTCCGGTTATTGACTTGATCTACGTAGTCGTTAAAGGTCGCAACGCCGTTGAACGGGCCGCTAGTGCGTCCCTGGAGGTAAGGGGTGGCAGATGTTGAGACTGTGAAGGTTGTAAGGACGGTAGCGATGATTGAGTGATGCATTGTGACCTGCGGTGTAGTGTTCAGAGCTGGATCAATTTAGATTGAAAAGGTGGTGAGTGTACTCTTGGGAGGTTTGTTCAGGTTTTTGTGATTCTGATTTCAATGGATATGCTCGAACAGACAGGATTTCGGCGCTCTTATATATTTTTCTTGACGTCTCAAGTGAGAGCGTCATGGACACGGACTCAAAGGGTTACACGTTTGTCGACTCCGAGCCGGAGTCACCCCCATCATTCGGTTTGTTTGAAACTGTAGTCAAAGACTGCTTGGGCGGCATACTGTGGGTCGTCTACGAGTCTGGAACTTGTAGGAGTCTCAACGCGGTACGCAATGCTAAAGAGTACATGATCCCACATGTTTTGGCCTGCACGCGGCATACTGCTGACTGCCTTCGCCCCAGACTTTCTTTGCGTTTCGGAGACTTGTTAGGATCTGCAGATTTGAGATTTGATCAGAGAGACCCTCGTCACAGCTGCCGATCTCACGAGGTCAGATAACAGCTTACGGGAGGGTTTTGTATAGCCTGGATTTCTCTCGCCGAGGCAGGAGAAGGTTCTGCAAGACATGCCGCAGGACCCAGACGCATGCAGAACCTCTTATCCTACTCATCGTCACGGCGGTCCGTAAAAAGCTACAGGCCATGTCGTAGGACGTTGGTGATGTTGCATGGTAGTCTCAGTTTCAGCTCGTGCCGCGTCCATTCTCGCTGGTGTGGCTAAGGAGCGCGAGGGTCCTCATCTGTAGGGTGTTTTCCCAGCAAAGCGCAGTGAAGGAATACGTGGACCGGAGGATTTTCACGGGAAATCTGGGGCAAATTGACAAATCAAGGCTGATATTCTGATAATTGCCCGTGCTCCCAAACCACGAGAGACGGGAAAAGTCGATTGACACGAAACCTGTCCCGTTGGGGCTGCTGAGGTTAGGGCCGAATATGGCCCGTGTTCGAACCCCAAAAAACGGGACAGGACGGGTGGCTTAGGAATACACACATGACAAAGCGAGAAGGTCCTACGGTCAACCTGAACGTTACAGGTTCAAGAATAGTCATTCATCTCCGACCATGAGATTGACGAAGGGGTTGTGCCGATGAATCAGAAGTTGTGAGACTCGCAGCGCACTGTTGCAACAGCAACCATAAGATACTGAATGACGATCTCATTTGCATTTTTGAGATCTAGCAGCTCTTCGAAGCCAGGCTTTAAGAAGTTGTCGCCAACTTCTTCACCACCACGGGTGTCGGGAACAGCATAGGTGATGACCCGTCGTTGAGCCGAAAGAAAGTCTCGCCATACCTGTGACGAAGTCCATACAATTCATACCGGGTAGGGGGCTCGCTGGGTAGGTCCATCATCCAGGACAGTCCAGTTCCAAAGCTCCAACGTGGGAAACGGCCGCGGAAGCTGAGCATATCACGTGGAAAGCCGAGACATGCCACAGGCCATTGGAGAGACGGTAGGTCAGTACCTTGGCTGCAGTCAACTACATCATTGAGGTAGGCATGTTCCTAAAATAGCCTTTTGTAGGCAAAGAAGTAGGTTGTCTTACTATTGATGGGCTGTGCCTCGTTTCGTTGGAATTCGTGCATGGTTGTCCCCCAAACCCCGAGTGCATAGCTTCCATCCTTGTTCTGGTTCGACAGACACTTCGAACGGCGGTTGCATCATAATTACAGAGAGTATGTCGGAAAACTTTCCATACCCCTGAGACTCGTTTCCTCCATATCAACATTGCATCATCAACCAAGCCGTCTGAGACCCATCGAACCCTACACTCTAGTCATGCTGTCCCGTCTCGGGTGTGAGGTTTGGTATCGATGAAGGGAAGAGAACACCGCTCCGCATGAGGGATTCGGTGACTAGATCATGGAAGAGTTAATGGACCTGGGCCTCGAGCGCCATCCGCTTCGGATTCCCCCTAATTTTAAATTAATTGTCCGCTGAGATTTTCCATGGGAGGTCCCTCAGGCAGATGTAGAAACGGGCTGGCATGAAACAGCATGATCAGTCATGGCTCGAGATACCGGGTCACATGGTCGATTGGCTTGCCACAATGGCTGGTCGAGGCCACGTACCTGCTAGATCTCACTAAATCTGCTCTTTTTTTGGACTGGCTCGGTTCCAGACCCATCATAGACCGTAGCATGGACAGTCAGGAATATGGACCTCTAGTCCTGGCATTGTTCGTCCACGATGTCTTCTCGAGACCAATTCATAGCTTTGACAGACTTTTTTGGAGCGGGGATCGATCTAGAGTTTCGGTCCAGTTAATAAACATTCATTCCTTTAGCTTGAGTTCCTGTCCACCAAGCTGCTATCTGCTTCTTGCAGCGTTAGCATTTGTCGTACTCACCAGCTTCTTCCAACTCGCGTAATCCTCACCTTTCCAAAATAACACCAGATCCTCACTCCAATTGCTGCCTAGATCACCTTGTCTGTCATTCAGGACCGTGTGTGCGAAAAGCCCTCGACTGGGATTCCCCTAGAGGATTTACCTGGCCTCACAAACCTCTTCCGGTACTCCTTCGTCCTTCCCAGGGTTCCTAAGTTGCCCCTTCACTAAAGACACACGGCTATAATGCGATATTTTCAACTTCCCTAACTTCTGAAGACTGACATCGCAAAGAGAGTCAGTGACCGGCGTTCCCTGCCAATGCGCCGTCACCGATGCTACTATCCCATCGTCTGGGCAGGCAGGCGTAAAATTTGAGGGTTCAGCCCTACCAGCCAAGACATTTTGCGCCCAGACGATGGGATAGCATTTGATGAGTGCTCTAATGTTTTGATGTGGCCAATGAAGAAGTCAACGAGCTCATGGGAGATGAAGACGTACGCTGTTCCGATAATATCAGTGCAAACTTTTGGTCGCAAGAAATTGTAACGAGTCATATTGAGGCGGCGAAGCTACTCGAACACTTGAAAAATGCGCCTCATGGCGCTAAGCCATTGTCGCTGACTTATACGGTAATCACGTACGGAAATGATAAGAGATTATATGCTTGATGATTGGACAGAGAATGTAGACCATTTCAGGTATCAGCTTTACATCTGCGCTATTTTCCATTTCCTTGCTATCTGGACAAGTGCAAGCACGATTTTTGTAGACGACTTTCCCAGAAACGTTCTGGATGCACGCTGAAGAGGAGCAATAAGAAACATTATCAACAGCCAGCACGCCTCCGAATGCTCAAGGCTCGGTCTCATCTTTCCAAGCCCACGCCATGGCCTGTCTCGATTCCCCAATATCCACGTCTTGCCCGGACCATTTCCTAAGCCATGCCGCCATTCGTGTCGTCAATGGCGGTGCTCTGCTCTCTCGTCATGCGACCTTCAGCCTCTCTCAACTGGCTCTCACGTGCCAACAACTCCTGTCTCTTCTCGTTGATCTCTCGTTGCACCTTGATCTCAATCTCTCGAAGCTTCTCTTCCTCGCGACGTAGTTGCTCCTCCTTAAGGCGTACAGACTGGGAGGCCAGATCGTCAGGGTTTAGCGATGAGTCACTGTAAATTACATTAGCTGCCGCTCTAGTATCGGTCAGGTTGAATGGCCAGAACATACACAGAACCCCCATCAACGCTCTTGCTGAGTTTCTCCGTCCGGTAATTCTCATAGAGGAAGTCGTGAGTGATCTCCTTCAAATCCGCCAGATGGCTATGCAAAAGTGCGCTTCTAATAGCGAGGAAATCGGAGTGGCGTGGATTATCGATCTCGACCACACCCCATGGGTATTGTCTTGCTCGTACACGTCGTCCTCCAATTTCAACCACCTCCTCAGAGCCTACAATAGCGAAAGGCATCAAGCCCCGTAACTCTGCGTTCTCTTCAACAGTATCCTCATCATCCTCTTCGATATCGTAGGGGAAATTGTAGACGGGTATGCGGTAGTGTTCGATGTCTTCCATGACCAGCTTCTTCGACTCAGCAAGCTCAGCTGGGGTGAGCGAATCTGCTTTGCCAATAACGGGGATGACGTTGACACGCGGTGAAAGGCGCTTCATCAACTCGATGTCCAGTTCGCGGAGACTATTGCAAATGTTAATGACGATATAGACGCTGCTGCGTAAAGTTTTCATACCCATGGCCAGTTGGAGTAATGAAGTAGAGCAGAGCATGCACACGATTGTCCCTGAACCTGGGATTACGCTTGATGCGTGACTCCTCAGCCAGGATGTCATCGTATTGTCGTTCAAGATGTCCCACGATCTCCGAAAAGCTCGCTTCGTTGTCAATCTGGTCACCGAATCCAGGTGTATCCACTATGGTCAAAGATATGCGGGTGCCTTCCTCATCAAGCTCCAGCTCAACCGTGATCGGCTTGATTCTAACGCCATCCTCGATATGAGCACGCTCTGGATCATCGTCGGTGTCTTTGCTTTGTAGAACACGCTTTCCGCATAATGTATTAACGAAGGTAGTACGTCCTGGAATCGGCATGAATTAATATATATTCCCTGGGTAGTTCCCGTTCAAGTAAGCTGTACCTGTCCCCGAAGCACCGCAGACCATCAGGCAGAATTGGATACCCTTCTTCACGTTTTTCTTACGACGCATCTTGATCTGTGATTTCCTCTTTAGCATAACAATGCTTCGCCGGTGCTCGTGAAGCAATTGGTTGGACATTTACCGCGTTCAAGTTGGACGACATCCTGAGGGTCTATATCAAGTGCTTGGACTGTTGTCTCAGATGAGGAATGTGAGGTGACAATGTGCTGGAATGCTTCAGTGTTTGAGTTTAGGAAGTACCTGCCCAGAAATTTGCTAAAGGGGGTTCTTAGCGCAATTGAAGCTGCGAGCGTTTACTAGCGTCCTGGCGAACTATGGGGCCCCCGCCAAGTTCCAATATCACCTATTCATCTCCGCGCGCCATGACTCTTAAATGCGTGATACAATATGGTTACCTTGTACCTTCATATTCATGACCTGCTTTTGGAGCGGCTACCTGACTCACCTTGGGCGTCTACCGCCATAAGTCTATCAAAGCACCGGCCATGAATACCCGGCCAGCAATCGACGACTCTACAGGGCCTGTGTCTCTTTCCGTTGCCTTCAATCAGGACAATAGCTGCTTCTCCGTCGGACTCGACAGTGGCTTCTGTGGTGAGTCTCGAGTAACTATTTGTTGTCTCATTCAAAAAGCTCTTGCTGAATTGGGTCTCTTCAGTTTTCAGATCAGAACCATGCGAGCTCCAGGTCTCTCAAGGTACGATGATCAGGCGAGTAGGTCATACACTCAGTCTATCATGGTTGACATCGAGGCCACAGATTTCAATGCGGGGATCGGAGTGGCGGAGATGCTTGGACGAGCCAATTACATCGCAATAGTTGGAGGAGGAAGGCAGCCAAAGTTCCCACAGAACAAGGTCGGTAAGACTCCGCATAGCGAGCTCACTTGACAATGACACCAATCTCAAGATCGCTCGTGTAGGTGATATTGTGGGATGATGCCAAGAAAAAAGCCATCTTCACCCTCGAGTTCCGCTCCCAGGTCCATCGCGTAAGGCTTTCCAAATCCCGCATCGTGGTGGCTCTTCAGAACAGCGTACACCTCTATGCTTTCTCTTCCCCACCGGAAAAACTATCAGTCTTCGAGACCGCAGACAATCCGACGGGGCTCTGTTGCCTTGGGTCTAAGATCATAGCCTTCCCAGGACGTACACCAGGACAGGTACAGCTCGTGGAGATTGGTAACGGAAACGTTAGCATCATACCAGCTCATAGCACGCCACTAAGGGCTCTGGAACTCAGTCCTGATGGAGAAATAGTGACAACTGCAAGTGAGACTGGGACGCTGGTACGGGTATTCTCAGCCGCCAATTGCACTCGCATCGGAGAACTGCGCAGAGGGGTAGACCCTGCGGTCATCTACTCCATCGCCATATCACCAAACAGTGCTCTCTTGGCCGTCACCTCAGACAAATCAACCATGCACATCTTCGACCTGCCCTCTCTAGGTCGGTCTCGCAATGGCTCGATGATATCGAACAGACCGCATCGTAACTCCAACAGTTCCTCCGCCACTGGCAGTGCAGATGAAGGGAACAAGCAGAAATGGGGCATTTTGGGTAAGATTCCGCTGCTACCTCGGGTTTTTTCAGATGTCTACTCATTCACGTCCGCCCATTTCGAAACCGACGATGATCCTCAGACAGACCTTGGGAAGAGGGTAGCGATGCCAATACCAGGCATACCCGGTGGCAAAGCAAGGAAGGGTGTCATAGGGTGGAGAGATGATTACACGATCCTTGTCATTGGCGCTGGGAGAGACGGGCGATGGGAAAAGTTCATTTTAGGGGAAGGAGAGGACGGCAGGAGGCATCTCGTCAGGAATGGATGGAAGAGATATTTGGGGAAGAACTGACGGGACTGTGACTATATGGATATGAACGTTCACGAAACACGAGCAAATGGCATGCGGAGTTGGAAAGATGATGGCTTGGACATCTTGATATGCATGGCGCCATGTACCATATTTACTGGTCTTCTGAACGGAGGGATAACCCCTGCTGGTAGACACTCTGGATTCAGACAATAGATCCCAATGCAACCCCTCGATTGGGACTACAGCTTGCTTTTTTCGTCCGTGCTCCGTCTGCATAGTCCGCAGTCTCCATGTTCGAGAGCTTCTGGAAATTGTTGACGCGAGAAGACCGGCCCATGCTGCCCTCGCGCACAGACAACGGCTTTTCGTTTCAAAACTATAGCAGCCGAAGTGGCCACCGGCTTCATCCCATAGAGTAGAGTCATGCATGTCGAGGCGTAGAAGCATGTTCAAATGGCCATAGCCGTAGTATCTTTCATGATAATGTGGCTGTTCAAGGACTTCTCGACCTCCGCCTATGACCATGACGATGCCCATCACCATAGCCCGGTCTGCGGCGATCCTCCTTCTCCCCATCCGCATCGCTCCTCCGTCTCTCCCGATGACCATGTCGGTCACTGCGATGATGATGTCTATGCTCATGCTCTTTCTTCCTCTTACCCTCTTTCCCCCCATCTTTGATCCTCCCCACCGCCCGCGCAACCTCTTCTCTCTTCTCCTGCACCAGGTACTCCTTCATCGGATCATCGTCATCATGATCTCTTAGCAATTTCTGCAGCTCGAGTTCTTCCTTGACCATCGGTCTTGTCTCTTGCTCGCTCTCCTCTTCGCTCTCCTGGCCGGCCGGCCCACCTTGTAAGCCTCTCTCCCGCTCCTCTTCCTCCTCGCCATCTTTTCGCTTGTATCTCGTATGGTCTACCTTCAACACCCTCCCCATGACGCTGGCACCGCCTAGATTATCCACCGCGAGGTCTGTCGAGCGTTGGTCTTCGTATTTCAGGAAGGCGAAGCCTTTGCTTTTTCCTGACTCTTTGTCGCGGATGAGGTTGATGTAGGTCGGTTCGCCGAATTGGGAGAAGATGGTCAGGATGTCGCCTTCTGAGAGGTCGAAAGGGAGGCCGCCTATGTAGACGTAGGCTGTATCTCTGCTCAATGTTAGCTACTGGTTTCGTGTTGCTGAGGGTGGAGGGTTGAATTTACCTATAATCGGCATGCCAAGATGCTTCCGTAGAACTGGAGAAGCAGAAAACGTCAGTATACTGAAGGTTTTTCAGAAGGCGAGAGCGCGGTGGACATACACTCCATTCTCAAGCTCGCGCTTGTTGAGATTCTGAATCTCGCGGATGGTGTTCATGCTGGAACTCGATGATCAGATGCTAGCATCTGCTGGTTTACCAGCCAGATCATGGTATCTGATACCTCATCTGGTGCGACATTGAGTACTCGGGCTTGACGAGGGAATCAACTGCGAGGGCTTGGCGCAGCAAGCCGACAAATAAAGACTTTATACTTTAAGTATACTTCTAAAGTTAGAAGTCGAGGCGGCTGTTAAGCGACAGCTTACCAGCTGCGCTAACCAAACAGAAGTTCTTGATTGATCTGGTGGATGATTTCACCTGACAGTCTAGCAAGAAAGTCGACAATCAACGCACGAGAGTCGAATGAAGAATGATAGACTCGAGTGTTGTTATGGATTTGATACAAAGTTTAACTACACACGGGGCTAAAGGGAAATAAATTTCCACTCCACCGATCGAGACTCAAAACGTCTGACAAAATGTACGTGCTGCTCTACAAAAGGCACGTCCGCGCCAGATTACCACTTCGACAACAAATCGAAGATCTCCAAGCTTACCAATTCCTGTCGAAGTCCTCAAAGTGCTCAAGAGTGACATGGTGTTGTAGGACACTTTGTTCGCTATCATGCTATCCCTTACCGTTGGAGGGAGCTTGCTGGCGAAGACTGTCAACTTTCTGGGGAGGAAGCGTTGAGGGGTACAAGCGTGGGAGGCTTGGTGTATGGGATGGTGAAGGTGAACGGAATGGGAGTTGGAGTCGAGAGTCTTCGGGGGTCTTAGATCCACTGTAAGATTGCTAAAGGAGAGTCTCCTCAGGGAAGAGGCTGTTGAGGCTTCGTTTCCCACCCACTTCACTACTCAACACTGGCAGCATCACCAGCCTTTGTCGATTACAGATCCTCATCCAATGAAGTAGGTCACCACCCTCTCCGGTATGATCCTAGGATTGCGCCATGCGATCTCCGCTCCGTTATCAAAATAATCTCTGCCTAACAAAGACAGTGTTCACAACTCGAGAACATAACAGCCATTTAAAAGATGCAGAGGCGGTAATAGGATAGTGACCGGCATTGTGTGGAAGCTGTCGACGCAAGTAAGCAGTAAGGTCGGCTTTCTCCAACCCTCTCAACGTCGTTCGACTCGTTTCAGCCAGTAAGTGAGCAGGGCGGACAAGCCATCTCGCATCTTATCAAAGCCATGACGATCGTTGAGACAACGCAGAAAGACATGGAGACGACATCGGTGCGACACGTTTCTAGATAATTGGTTCGTATTACATATAAGGGCTGCGTTAGGCGAGCTGAGTAACGTTTACTAATATCTAAGATAGACACACTGCAGCCTTATATAAAGACAGCGAGGCAGAATCCTGCAGAATCAGGCATTGATCCGACGTGGTTCTACATGATTGGGTTGTGTTATATAAGGGCTGCGTTAAGCGAGCTGGACAACAATTACTAATATCAATGATAGACACACTGCAGCCTTTTGTAAGTGCAACGAGGCAGAATAAGGCAAAATGACGCATAAGGCTTCGCAGCCCAAGTTTTGGTAGCCCAAAGCCGAAATCACAAAGATTTATTTAAGGAGGCCATAATGCCCTCGCATTACTGACTATCTTCCCTCCCTTGATTTTGCAATATAACAGAATATCCTATATCGAGCTTGCCTAAATACATCATCTATCTTGTCGGCTTGGGAAGAGGCAGAGTATCTCAAACGATCACCCTTCCTAATCAAAACTCACCATGCCGTCGGTAAGTCTGACAGACCTATCCTAATCTCAACTATAAAAGCAAGCCGTCTCATCATCTTCGCGGCAGTCCAACTCCAACACAACAACCTACACCTATTCGGTCACATATGGAATGACCCCCTTCGGGCCAACGGGAGTACAAGTCACGGAAACCCTGGAGAAGGCCTGCGAATGCAGTCAGAGTTTGTGCTGGGGCGCTCCTAACCAGTGCAGTGTACACGACTTTGTGAGTTAAATGCTTCAAGATGGAAGATTACCTGGCTAACATTCCGAGAAGAAAAATATGAAGGGCTAGTCTCGATGCAAAGCTCCGTGCTCCGAAGGCGTATGAAGGACAACAACCCTTCAGGATTGTTCATCCAGCCGCACCAGGGCTCGAACTGCCCAGTTGGCAAAGGTTTCCTCTTCTCTGATGCTTGCGACGTTTTCAGCCGACATTCCTTAAGAAGAACAGGCACATAGTCGTTAAAGCATAACAGTCCTTATCCTCTGAACTTCATGTCTGCCGATAAGGTATGATAGATGTCTGCAACTCAGCACAGCACTCTGCAATGCTGAATGAGCGGTCGTTGTCTGAGAGACTCTATCGTTTTGGGAATTTTGCCTTCTATAATTTTCAACATCATCCCTTTCAGCTTGCAATGCCTTCAACAATGTTAATATATACGGCTCACACCCATAGTGGCATGCCCATAGATCAGAGATTTCCACGAGATTTTTTGCGCTAGAACATATGTAGGAGCGGCAGACTCATAAATTTGACAAAGCCACAGACCATTGCCCATTGGAGTATGACTCTTGTGAGAGGAGCATCCCAATAGGTATTCTGGGGGTATGGGAGACTGGACAATGATTGTAGGGCAGTGGGAAGAGGAGCAGAACATTGGCTACAGCTCGGAAACGACATTGCCTGAGCGGGAATGGTATTAGCGTCCTTGGTAACAACCTCTCTGCCTTGTTTAACCAGTCTGGCTGTTAGCATTGTGCTTGGATGGTGCCAGCAATGCTCGAAGCAATATATCAACCGTACAGGAAAGATCCCGTGGAGAAGAAGGGGAACAAGAGCAGAGTACTAGATGAATTCCAAAGTACGGATAGCATAGTACGGATGTCATGGGCCATAATGAGTCTTCTAGGGCATGTTCACGATCAGTGAAGTAAACTCTTAATACTGATGTAGGTAGGTAAAAAACCCATCAGGGAAGTCGTCTTTTTAGTGGCGAGGGACGCTAACAAGTTCCTTGTAATGCTTGGAGAAGGCGCACTCAACAACCTTGGGTCTAATACGGCAATCACGATAACAATTTATGACTACATGGAAGGATGTGCATCAAGGGGATTACACATGCGAAGCAGCGACGTGTTCTCCAAAGTGCTCTAAGGTCAGCAATGCCATATTCGTGAGATGAATGTTTTCACGATATTATGACTGGACAGTAGATAATCAACAATGATAGATGTTGCACTTTTGGACTTTGGACCAGCCTTCTAGATCTTTGCCCACAAGGACTTACTGCACCAGCAAATGTTTGCGAGTGAAGGATTTCAGATGCAATAGCCATATCAGATCACCGTTGGAAGGTTGAGTCTCCTCACGACGTGCATTTTCGGGTGCTGCTAGACTGCTGCCCTTCTACTCTTCACCATAAGATTTCGCCCTGTTGCTCGCATCCAACTCCGAAGCCCGTCGACGTTACTTATGTGCACGAATAGAGAGACTACATACGTTCCATGTAAGCTTGCAACAACATTCTGCTTTGTTATGTTAGAAGCGGCGATATCTTCAAAGCGGTCTACTTTGATTTCGATGCACTATATACGGTCCTTACGTGCAAACGTGCTTGAGGCCTTATGTGAAGCGTGCCCAGTCTTTTCCGCAAATAAACGTACTGAACCTATTATGAACCAGGTAGCAAGATCATTGACGGAAAAAAATAGACGAAAAGAACGATTGAGAATCCCAATTGTAGGACGATGGAGTGATGAGAATGGTCCCTCCGGCCACAAGACTACTCTGATGCTCATGTTTACCGTAGGCTATAGCAATTCTCTACGAAGCACACTCACGTGGGGTATCAAGGCACTCCATATTATATCGATTTATCTGGCATATCTCTAACATATACTCCACAATCTAGTTAGGAGACTTGCCCTCATTTGAAATAGTATTCTATATGCACAGGGGCCTTATAGCACTGGTATTGCATAGCCATAAGCGCCAATCCTGCATCCTTAAAAATCTTGCTGACTGTTGGAGGTATCTGTGACAATGACAGGTACTGTATCGACTTGGAGGGTGACATTATATCTATTATTCAACTCACATTAGTCATCATCGAAAAGCGATTTGCTCAAATTTATCTTTCTCAAAGCGTTGATATATCTGTTTTGTTTTACATGTAGTGCTTAGCCGTAAAGAGTGTAGCGAATGCTTTTCTGCTCAGAACTACCAGCCAAAGGAGTGTGACGAGTCCCATTACAGCATGGTCCCCAAAAAGACACGCACAAAAAGACGCGAAGGAAGAAACACAACAGCTCGACATGCTACCCATCGCTAATTGGAGGAGGGCGCTCTCTGAACACTTCCCCACTTTGCTCCGTGTTTGCTTTGACTGATACATTGCTGTGGGGTATCATCCGCCAAGCTGGAGGTAATAGATGGCCCCGCAAAAACCGTGCAGCTGGCGTCCGAGTATACATTCAAAGATGTCATTTCCTCAAGGTCGGTGCCAAAGTTGACCGCGACGGCGTCGTACTTTGAGTCAAATGGAACGCAGTCGTCCACCTCAATGTTAACGGCGTCGCCGGCGCCGTTGCTGGTGCAGTCAGCGTTGTAGAATGAGCTCACCCATGGGTCTTTGGCTAAAGCGGCAGTGGCGAAGAGCGCGACGAGAATGGTTTGGTAATGCATGATGTAAAGCGTGGAATGAGAATTTGTTTGAATTTTTTTTTGAGGATTTGTTTTTTTGGTGTGTGACTGGTTGGTGTGATCTGAAGAATTAACATCGTGGAGAAGACAGATCTTATACGTAGAGTTGCTCTAAGAAAAAAGGTACGAAACTGCTTTTGTTCGATTCATGATGATTCTTTCCTTGTCTCACCTTGTGTCTTTTTCTTATCTTGTGCTATTCCAAGTAAGCTCGCTTTATTCCCGAAATAAAGAACCACCGATGTCATGTGTATCTAATCAAGTTAGAGAAGAAAGGGATGTTCGAAGTATGATGATGTCGATCTAACTTTTTCGGGTTTCCTTTGTCTTCGAACGACCTTCATTTAATATGTCTTTTAGACTTCGGAACGTATCAAAGAGAGAGACAAAAAAGGTTGATTGTAGTCTCTAGCCAAACCTACCAAGATTCCTTTGTCTCTCATTATCCCGAATTCTATTTCCGCTGTATTTGCAGATCTAGATCTAGGGTTACAGGACATCATCAAGTCGGCAAGTCCCAAAACATGTCCCTGTCAGTTTGGACCTAAGTCGACTCTAGCATCATTAGCATCATGCACAATGGAGTAGGATATCGAAGACTGGTTGTGCCAGTTTAGGATCAGCAGAAAACAGGTCACCGCCATATATGTGTCGACATTTTACCCACCTTCATCTTCTTTCGCGTAGATACTGGCATCAAAATCTCGATCATATGGGCTTCTTACCATTAATGATGACCGTGGTGAATAATCCCGAACCTGATGAGCCCACGCCCACAACGACTCGTGACGACGAAAGCTGCCCTACCGAATGGCTTGAGTCGCTAGGCCAGGGGTTAGTAGTCGCAAGCCCGAGCAGCAAGACGTTTATGGAGATTGTACTATAAAATTACCAAGAGAAGACCAGGGCTGGCAACGGTGGAAATAGTTGGTTTTGGAGGGCAAACTGCACCAACTACTAGATTTGGATATCGAAACTGCACCAACTACCATATATTGAAAACCAACTATTCCACTATCAGTGCAACTGATAGTGGAGCAGTTGTAATAGAAGATTAAATATCGCTCAGTGGGGGGGGGGAGGGGCAATATATCAAGTGTTAAGCCCTATCAGCCCTATTTTCAGCCCTACTTCAGCCCTATCAATGTTGGCCTAATAACTCTTTTCACTCAAAAAACCGAATTTTTAGAAATTTATTATAATCTACTCCACTCTCAGTTGAACCAATTGGTCTTAAGGTCAGAACTGCACCAGCTAACAACCGGTACACCTCAAACTACACCATCAACTACGAGAAACTAACGGTTCCACTGGTAGTGGACCAGTTAGTTGGTCCACCATTGCCAGCCCTGGAGAAGACAACAGTGCTGCTGCCATTACCGCTGCCCTCCTCCCGTATAAGCCAGAAATGGCTATACTAGATCAAATCGCCAGCGCGCCTTCTCAAATCTGACGGAAACAGAGAGAACCTAGAAAGCGCTGGAAAGCTGATTGGCTGATCGATCCTTCAAGGATAAACCGGACGGTATTGCTGAGCTGCTGCAGATCGGAAGCTGTGGAGCAGGGTATCAGAGACTTATGCAGAACATAGCTGCAGAGCAACATGACAAACAAGCCTGGCAAAACGCGAACAAGGGCGGCCACGTCCCCCCTCTACGACGCTGAAGGTTGTGTTATCTCGCATTCTGGCGAGGCCATCACCCTCTCCTGCCATGTCCAGCAAGAGTCGCGTTTCCCTCTTCGGCTTCGGCTTCGGCTTCGGCCTCGGCCGGCTTCAAGACCGTCAAACTTCTCGCCCTCGCCCTCGCCCTCTACCTCTAGGCCATCGCGTCGACGCAAATTATCAACCTTATTGGGTACGGCCGAGACTAAGATAGACTCTGGTGATTGTGGGACCCGGATCGTAATTCCCCCACGTTGTACGCCGATCGCTTTTGGATTGCAACTTGCTCGAGGACGCAAATTTCTATTGTGCTACTACGGGACTGATTATTTGCCAAGCAAGGGAGAGACCAATGTGCTAAGTAAACAGAGTCAAAATACCCTCCTACTTGCTTAATCGTTGGCATCGCCCATTCTTTCGTCCCTTTCTTCCTCTGCTGAATCTGAATATTGCAATGATGAAAACAAAAGGAGGGAGATCTAGGGTTACTAGAGAATGCATGACGCTATACATAAAAAGACAGGGCCGATGTTGAACCTTATGTTATATAGGCCCCGGATCGTCGGTTGATACCTCACTTGCGCATATTTTTGCCAGCTTGCTCGCAAAACCACAGGACAGAGTGGAATGGTAGTAAAATTCGTATACTTACGCAAGCGAATGCGAGCATACTGTGTCAATTGCGCGAGTTGCTCGTAATGGTGAGAAACTTCTGCAATTTGTCATACAGGACACAATTGGCAGTCGGTGAGTCGGTGGTGACCACCAAGAGGTAGGTAGCCTTACTGCAGCACCAGGGGGTGTCATTGGGCAAAATCTAACCGGGTTTCGGCCGTACAGCCAGCAACCCGTACAAGGGATTTTTCTGGAAGATATCCAGGCCAGGATCATTGAGATGCCTAGACGATGTGACTGGCTAAGCAATAATGCCGGTAATCGTGATGAAACAGTAATGTGCTGATGTAAAGCTGTCGGACTTGTAGCCATTCAGTGTACGAGAACTCCCGAAGTCGAAAACAGGTTAGCTTGCCCAATGACTCCGTGCAGCCCGTGGTGGCAGCTTTGAAGAAGGGCAGGCACACATTCATAGCTTCCTTTGTATTTATTTACGATAACTCTTCCCTTCGATTCATGTGGTGCAGTTCAAATGTATCATCATCTGATTTCATTCCTAAACTGAGTTGAGCCAGCACAACTGAGCGAGTAAAGTTGAACTAGCACAATTGAGTAGCACATTCGGGCTGGCTTAGGATGTCCGGGAGCCCATCGGCCTGGGGAGGGCGATACAACCTAGGTGGAGACAAAGACGAGTCTCCAAGCCAGAGCAGTAAGTCGGGCTATCTGGTTGAGGACTTGAGTAGAAACATTTGCTCATATGTAGTACAGATGATTCATGGATAGAGCGACAAGACTATGCACTTGACGGGGAGCCCTACTGGGTTGAGTCAGAACATCCCTCCATCCCGTTCATTCAAGCGTACAATGAGTGGGTCGGCTTTGACCGCGGCCAAGAAAGCCTCGTTGGTACTCTCGAAGATATCGAAAACCTCGAAAATGTTCCCAGCTTTCCGCCCAATATAGATGCATCAACACTCGTCTCAGTCGATGCCACCAACCCAAACCCTACAGGCTCCTCTTTTCACCGAACTTACCATAAATCGGGAGAGACACTGCCCTGGGCCAATGGCAGCCAATGGGGGGTGCATGAAACTGCCTCTCCGCCAATGGCACATGGCACCTACCATGCGCCCTTGTTGTCAAATCCCCGCCATGGTGTAGTAGAGCCAGATAGGCTTGAACTCCTTCAACCCATATCGTGGATTGTGGGAATCAGATGGGTTTGTGGAACCCAGCAGCAGATGGGTACCTCTGGCCTCACTGGGTTCCACGCCGCGCGGCTATCCACAGGTATCAGAAGTTGCATCGATCTCCACATCTCGTCAAGATTATCAGGATATTACTGCAGAGCAGACGGAGATGCTCAGGCCAGTTGATGCTCAGCTTCCAGAGCCGCCATTCCCTTCAATCGCAGAAATACTTATTTATTTAATAATTTAGTATTATAGAAGTTAAACGAATATTTCTATATTCTTATTATATATTTTTCTATTTACTCTTTTATTCTTTTTTTAATAAATAGTTATATAAAATAGCTATATAGACGTTTAATATATATATAGCTATATTAATTTAGATCTAAAATTTTCTAAAGCTTAAAGAATAGAAAAACTATTAGTTTTAATTAAAGAAGATAAAAAGTACTCTAAAGTACTACGGCCTATAGAACGTAGTAAAATAAAAATTAATACTATTTCTAGACGATTTATTAGAGAAAATTATTATTATAAATATACTAGCTAATAGTATTTACTATATAAGAATTATCGTAGCGAGACTTATTAATTAGTAGATTTTAATTTACGATATCGAGGTAAAGGCCTAGAAAGACTTTAATAATTAAGTATTAAAATTTATTTACTCGATATATAAGAATAAATTAATTAAAGTAATAGAAGATAAGAAGATAATTATAATAAGATAAATTAGACTTTAAATCGATTATATCGATTTTAGATTTATTCTTCGATTTATTAAGTTATAGAAATTATAAAATATTACTATAGTTAATAATAATAACTCGATTAAGATCTATATTATTAATATATATATAAAATCTAAGAATCTCAAGTATATAAAAGCTTTAATTGATAAATAAATTCTTATTATCTTATTATTAAATAATTTAAATAAGAAGTATAAAGACTTCGTATATTGTCTTATTATATAACTTAATAATATATTAGACTTTAATAAAATTATTATACTTCTTTACGAAGAAAACTATCTTCTTAAATAAAATAATAAGAAATAAATTATAGTCGTTATTATAAAGAAATATTATAAGAAATAAAAGAATAAGAAGATCTTTAGAGGTAATAATAATTTAGAATATAAGAGTAATACTTTAGAATAAGACTAGAGTGAAAATAATAATAAAAATAATAACTATAACTTTAATTTCTTATTAAATAATCTAAATAATATTTACTATAAGAAATTAGATAATATATCTAAATATTTAAAGTACTTACTACTATTAAATAAAAGTAAAAAGAAATATTAGTTATTTAGTTACTAAATTCTTTATAACGAAAAGATATCTAATTAATTTCGAAATAATAATAATAATAATTCGAACTTTAAGTTTAAAGCGAATATAATTAATATAATTAATAGATTAAACGATTTCGTAGATTAAAATTATATTTATATTTTAGTAATAATCTATACTATAATCGATAATAGAGATATTATAGAAGATAAAGAGTATTAGAGTTATCTAGTTAATAGCTTAATATCTAAATTAGATAAAGAGATAATAAATAAAGAGCTTAAAATTAAGTCTCTCGATTATCTCTTAATCGAAATAATTAAATTATAAGAATTATAAGAGAATATAGAAAATTAGTTAATATCTTAACTTGACGCTAGTCTAAAATTAGATAATAAGATAAGTCGAAAAATTAAAAATATCCTTAACTCTCTATCTAATTCTTTAGAGAACGAAATAATTAACGAATTATTATATAAATTCTTAATTTACTTTCTCTTCTATATAGTATATATAAATAGTTAATCTATTATTATATATAAATAAATAATAAACTTAGACTATACTAATTATATATTCTTTAATAAAGACGAGTTTATTAATTATTAGTTATATTATATAGATATTATAATAGTTAATAAAATTATTATTTAGACGTAGAATTACGATATAGTTAAAATAAAATAACTATTATAGAATAAATTTAGTAATATTATAAAAGTTAGTAAAGTCTTATATATTTCGAATTTTATATATAAATTATTTTCGATTAGTTAGATTATATAAAAAGAATTAAAAATTATCTTTTTTAATAATAATTATTATATTTTTTAAGATAGTAAGTTTATTAATAGCGCTTCGAAGATAAATAATATCTATATTCTTAATATCTTATAATCTATAGCTAAAGTTTTAATACTTATTTAGAAGAATATAAAAATCTTAATAATAAGTCTAATATTTAATAAGAAAGCTATTAAGCTATAGTATTATTAAATAAGATATTTAAATAAAACGGATTTTAAGAGATTAATTAATATAAGTAAGAGTATTATATTAATTTAAAAATCTTAAATTAGATTAATATATAAAGTCTATTTTAAGATTAAATCTATATAAAAGATTTTAAAAAGAATATAATATAAGATACTCGAAAAACTCGATAAGATTTATATAGACTTAAGAGAATTTTTTAATATATTATTTATTAATAAGATTAAGTATTATATACTTCTAATTAACTAAGTAACTCTTTAAATCTAATACTTTATATATAAATATAAAAATAAAACCTTTAAATTATTTTATAATTAAAAAATTTAGATAAAAAATAAATTTAATTATAAGATTAAGATAGTTCGTTTAAATAATAATATCGAATTTATTAATAGTAAGTTTAAAGAATATTTTAAAAACTTCGAAATTATATAAAAGTTTATTATACTCTATATATCTAAGTAAAATAGATTTAATAAGATATAAAATCGAATTATTATAAATAAAATAAGGGCTATACTTTTTAACTTAAAGTTATTCTACTATTTATAATTAAAACTACTTTATATTAAAGTATATTAAAAAAATAGAAGTTTTACTATCTATCTTTAGAATATAATATTATATAAGATATAAATAGATAAATAATTATATCTCGATTATATAAAGATTATTAATTACGTTATCTAAGTATATATATCTAAGAAAAAATATAAAAAGCTCGATAAATATAGTAAGAAGTACTATCTAATTAATTATAAAGATATAAATATCTTTTAAATATAAAATCTAGTTACTCGATAAGTAAAATAATTCTTCTATATCGATTTTAACGAATTATAAATAATAATTATTACGATCTCGAATATAGATTATTAGCTAGTCGAGATTACTAATAATAATATAATAGATATATTTAATATAGAGAGTAACTCTATAGTATATTAATATATATTTAAGATCGTTATTAATATCGATATAGACTCTATTAATATAAATAAAATTAGAAATATTCTTTTTAATAAAAATATTAAAGAAATTAAAGAAGTTAAAGATATAAAAGATAGTAATATAGGCTTAAAAGGATTTAATAATAATAACGTTAAAGAGATATCTCGAGATAGCTCTATTATTTATCTAGATCTATATTTTAATATAATATATAATTCTTAATTAAAATAAAATCTTATATCTTTTTAGAAAGTTCTTTTAAATAATAAATAAAGTAATATTAAAATATAGATTTAGAGAGCTATTATTTATATTAAGTATAATAAAACTCTTAAATTAAAATATTTATACTATAAATAAGTTATACTAAATTATAAGAATCTAGACTATTATAACTTCGATTTTATTTTTAATTTTATTACTACTATTTAGTAAATAACTAATATAAGATATTAATAGACTATTATAAAGATTAACGATTTTAAATTATTAATCTATAAGAAGATAATAACTAGCCTCTATATTAAATAATAAAAAAAGATTATAAATAAATAAATAAATTTCTTTATTATAATAAATAGTTAAAAGCTTATTTCGAGAATAAAGAATATATTAGTTCTTATTAATAAATAAATCTATAAAATAAAGAAGAAATTTAATAGTTTTATTCTCTATAAAGTATACTAAATAATTTAAGATTTTAAATAGATCTATAACGTTAATTACGACTAAACCTTCGCCTTAATTATTAAATTTATATTATTTAAAATATTATTTATAATTATAATATATTACGATTTAGACTATAAGTAAATAAATATTATTATTATATTTCTTAATATATTATTAAAGAAAATTATCTATATAAAATAGTTTAAAGAATATAAGAAGTAAGATAATAAGATATATCTACTACTTAGAGTACTATATAGTCTAAAGTAATTATTATAAAAATAATACTTTATTTTATAGAACTTCCTTATATCTAAAGAATTTAAATCTATTAAATTTAATTACTTACTCTTTATTAATAAGAAAATATAATTTATTATTAGCGTATATATAAATAATATTTAGATTTATAATTTAAAAGAATTAAAACTAATATCGAAATTTAAATAAGATCTTTATAAACGATTCGCTATAATCGATCTCGAACTATATTTATATTATTTAAATATAAAAATCTAGAAAAATTAAAGGGAGAGAATTATTTAAATTACGTAAACGACGTATTTAAGAAAAATATTATTACGATTTAATATAATTAACTATATATCTATCTTTATATTAATAATAGTAGATATTTAACTATAAGAGAAACTAGTTAATAAAACTAAATTAGAAATTATTTAGAAGTATTAATTAATAGTAGAATCGATAATATATTCTATAATTTAGACTTATTTAAATATTTATTTTATTATTATAATTTTTTCTCGATATAATTATAACTTAAATTTGAAATATATTATAATCGTTAAATAAGTTATCTATTATTTAAAGAAAATATTAATTTATAATATTATATATAGAACGACTAATATATTAGAAGGCTATATAAATACTAATTAAATCTTAAATTAAGAGATTAATTAATCTTTTAAAATTTATATATTTTTACTCTATAGTAAAATAATTAGTTAGATATCTAAACGATAATAGTCTATTATACTATTATCTTATAAGATTAAATATATAACTTAGATTTAGATAGTAAAGAAAGTTATTTAATTAATTAGACTTCTAAGCGAATTAGATATTAACTTTAGATTATTTAATAGATTAATACTAATTAAAATAGATAATTAAAGAATTATTATACTAACTAAGAATCCTCGCTTTTACTTATATATTAAATATATTAATATCTAATAATATTTTATATAAAATTAAATAGAAATAGAAGTAGTTATATTCGAATAGATATTTATTAATAATATAACTACGAATAGATTTATTAAAGCTCTTATTAATAATAAATTCGTTATATTTATATATTAAATTAAACTTAAGAAGAGCGAATAGAAGAAATAGTCTAACTTCGAACTATATAGAAGTATTAGAATTAATAGTATTTTCAGCTACTATTTAAACTATATGAGTGTATTAAAATCAGCTAATAGAAGACTAGGATTTCTATATACTACTAAGTTTTAAATCGCTGGTTTGGACGCCTCGCAGGTCGCTTATTTCCAATTTTTGACCGAATCAAAAGGTTTACCACCCGAACTTCTACCCCTCCTCCACAACGCGACCCATAGAATCGGTGCCCGCTCTACCGGGCTATGTCTAACGTCTCATACAGATGCAATTCTTGCAGATCGTAGGTCTGCAGCCGAAGTGGGGGATTTCAATTACGAAATGGTATGGGGAGCAGAGCTTTTCGAGCCAATGTGATTCGTCCATCGCCAGCCTTCATCAAGGTGTGAAGATAAGTGATGGTTTACACATTCTCGTGCTGTCGTCATTGATTCTGTGTCTCAAATATTCGGAAAGCTGAAAGATAAGAAATAGACTTCAGACCCACGTTGTCCCTGCTACTCCACGTCTGGTTTTTTGAGCACAGTAGGAAGCTCGCCCCTTCGATCTTTGACGCTCAAGCATTGTTCAGTACTTAGCATAATGGCTACAGTCGGCTATCTAACGCATGCGAATAGAGTGCCAACAGAGGCACCCGGCGCACTTTCATACTACCCAACTACTGGTGATGCCCTTCGATTCTGGTCTCTGCGCGAAGACAAGAATGTCCATTCAGATGTTCCCCAAGGCTTCCCTGCACATATTGACGCTCGAATGGCGTGGCAGGGATCGGACATGGAGATGCAATCGGATGCGTGGGTAGTACTCCTTTCAGAGGCCGACGTGTTCGCACTCGAGGGTGCTATGCGTGACTTTCGTAGTACGATTAAGAGACTTATTCTCCCCGCCGCTGAACAAGATGCTAATTCATCAAAGATCAAGCTTTGCATTTATCCCAGATTGACCAGATCAGCTTTCGCTTGCCAGACCAGCTTGCCAAGCGGCTGGATGACATCTCGGAGGAGTGTTACAACGGGCGCGGCTTTTGTGTGATTCGGGGCTTAGAGCCAGCGAAATACACCGACGAAGAGAACGTCATTCTCTATGCCGGTATCTCTGCCTACATCGCCCCGGAACGCGGCTTTCTAGACCGAGCTCGGCAACACGTCCTATGTAGGTTTGCACTTGCATTCTGAGGACAGGTAGACTTATCATTTGCCAGGCCATGTCTTACCCGCTGCTTTCAGTGCAGAGCAAGACAGGAAAATCACACCTGGATTCACCAACGATGCAATGGTCAGTAGGCTCTACTCATTGACGCATGAGACTAATATATAACGACGATTGAATAGAGCTTTCACACAGACGACGGCGATATTCTCGCGCTATACGCAATGAATACCGATCAAAGTGGTGGAAGGACACAGATTGCCAGTGGGTGGAAGGTGTACAATGAGCTTGCCTCGTCGCGTGCGGATGTCCTTCATACTCTGACGCAAGATTGGGTTCTTGATACGTGAGATACTTCTGACTGACTGTGCCATTACGTGTACGCGGATGCATCATCACTGACTCTTCGCAATAGTTATCAAGACTACAGCCAATGGCCCCCAATCAAGACACCATTGCTCTTCACTGATGGGGAAAAAGTCATGTTCAACTTCTCGAGGTACCCGCTCTGTGGATTCAGAGGAAACAAGCGGAATCAGAGCCTCCCTGCACCCACCGAATCGCAGCTGGAGGCTTTGGACGCCGTCCATTTCTTCGCGGAGAAAAA